TCTCTGCATGCACACAGCCTGCTCTGATGTCTCTCTCTGCATGCACACAGCCTGCTCTGATGTCTCTGCCTGCACACAGCCTGCTCTGATGTCTCTGCATGCACACAGCCTGCTGCTGGAGAACCAGCTCCAATGCGTCAGTATTAGTCCAAGCCTGCGGCTTTCCTCTAGCATCTTTGATTATGTCTGAGGCCACTTTCTATTCTGAGATAACATTCAGGATCCCCTGCATTTAACTGGGCTCCTCTTGGTTGTGGCTGCTGCTCCATATTGCCCTGTCCACGCCCGTGACGTGCAAGGACCACCGACTAGATGGTTTTGAAATTGAACACCAGCTACCAAGAAGGGAAGAGTGGGCATGGTGGCCTGGTAACATTTCAGGGTCAGACATGACTGTGCAGGAACACCCTCCCCTCTCATCACTGCTGTGGCCAAGGCCGAGGACTGTTTCTATAAGCCTCAGTTTCTCCATCTATTCAAAGGGGGCTGGCTCTGCCAGGTACTGCTGTGTGGGGATGGAGCGATGCATGTCTCAAGACTCCCCTGGATGTCTGTGGAGTGTTTTCTGTACTCTGGGAAATGCCATGGCGGACTGAATGATGCTTTGGCCGTCTCTCCAGGCCCCCTTCTAGGCCTTACTGCCACCAGCTACTGCTCAGCCCGTTTCCACCACTGTAAAGTGAGTTAGTTGGGATGCAATGTTATCCATAGACAGTCAGGCTCTGTGGGGAATGGCGGGAGCTGCCTCTGTGGCTGCGGATGCCAGCAGGGACAGAAGTCCAAGGCACCAGCAGGCAGCCTTGCATCGTGTCCAGGCCCTGACTCTCATGGCATGGGCACCTGCCCAGCTTTCCTGTCCCTGGGCAGGGAGATTGGTGGCATTTGTCAGTCCTCTGGGAGCCTCAGGCTTCTCTACTGTTCTCAAAGCAAATCTTTACAGTCTGGGCCTAGGGAAGAGCTCACGAGGTTGTGGTGGCCCCAAGAAGAGGGGATGAAGTAGCCAGCAGTTGCACAGATCACTGTAGCTCTCTGGCCAGTTTGTTCTGAGATGACAAAGATGACCACAAGAAGGAATGTATGGGAGGCCGGTGCTGCATCAAGGGCGGCCAATAGCCTAGTGCCTTAGGTATAGTTAGAGCAAGCCACGCCCCAGGTTAGGCGCCTGGGCCAGACTGCAGGACTGAGCATGCTCCATGGCTGAACTAGAAATTGCAATGGTGCTGTGCTGCCACCTCCTGGCCGTATGCAGCCCCGCAGCAGAGGCCATATAGTCCAAGCGCTTTTGGCTTCTGCCAGGAAAAGCTAGGAACTCTCAGGGCAAGCTGGTTCTCAGGTGAGCTCTAAGTATGGGAGCCATAGAGAGCCCAGATTCTCCACAAAGGGGGGAGTGTGAACTGTTCTGATACCTCCAGGAAGCACAGTCGTTCATCTTAGCATTCTCCATCAGTACCTGCAACCCGCAGATTAGAGAATGTTCCAGATACTGGTAGAATTCTGTAGCAGCCCCAGGGTGCACACACAGGCAGCACACGGTGGGTGGTCTGTAAGTGACTGCTAAGTGAGAGGATGGTGTGAGCTAATTGTGCTTTGCGCCTGCCACGCGTATTCTCCTTCATCCTTCCAAGTTCATCTCTCCACATGGACCACGTAGAGCGAGCAAACAGACCAGGGTGTCAAGCAGAAGTGCAGCTTTGCCCGGCTCTCGCTAAATCGTGCTCTTCTTCCTTCTCCCCAGATACTATGCAACCCCAGCACCTACCTCAGCCAGGACAGCCTCCCCGCCTGCCCGGGGACGTCGGGGAACCTGGCACTCTGTCCACCTGGGTCTGAATGACCTGGAAGAGCTTCAGGCGGCACTCAACGAGGCCGCACAGGCTGCTGAGAATGTGCGCGCCACCACCCAGCAGCTGAGCCGGTCCCTGTCTGCAGACCTGCGCCACGCCAGTAGCCTGCGAGGCTCTTGCCTCTTCTGACTCCCTGGAGACTCTGAGACTGAGGAGGCAGGCAACCTCTGTTGTCCGCTAGTCAAGTCTCCTGGAGCCATTGATGGCTGGAAAACGCCATGCCCCCTCCCGAGGAGCGCCTCCTGCCTGCTCCATGTAGCATGCTTAACATGGAGAGACACTGGCCTGGGCAGTAGTGGATGAAAATCCAGGGGACCAGCTCTGTCTTACAGGTGTAGTGATCAAGGCCACCTCTGTCCAGGCGGAGCCTCTGAGACTTTCCTTGCCATCCCTTCTGCCATGCCCACCCGCAGCTAACAATATGGATCTCACAGGACAGAATGTCTCTACACTGGGGAGCTACCTGAGCTTGGATCCTTCTCAGAAGGCCAGCAAGGACAAGGAAAGCCCAAGGTCACTGCAGTGTTCCTGTGTCTGCCCGTAATAGCCACGCTGAGGCAGGGAGACCCTGGCTAGGGATGTTCATCCTAAGTAGCTGTGGACAGGGAGTACTTGGGGACCCGTGGAATGTCTTGGGATAGAGGCTACCCATGTAGGGCCAGAAACAACCGCCAGCCTCAGACCTTCCTGCTACCTGTCAGGCCCTGGCTGGCTGAGGCCGAGAAACCAGGCCAGCACCCCTTTCCCCATCCCATAGCAGAGTGATCGTAGCATTTCTGAAATGTGTTTTTCACAGATTGTTTATGTATTTGAGGCATTTAAAAATCTATTTTCGTTATTAAAGCAAATGAAGGAAAATGAATAATGGTCTTAAGAAAGGGAAAAGAAATTCCCAAAGCTACTTGTGCCTGTGGTGTTTACTGAAAGTCTGTGGCTTTTAAAGATGAGGGTGGCGGGGAGTGGATGCCCAGCTAAGCTCTCCCCAGGTGCCTGCTGCATAGACTTCCAGAACAATCTGCCTGCCCTTCTATTGTCTCTGAGCGTTCTTTTCTCCTGCCGTTAGTCTAGAGAGGCCAGCAAAGCAAGGCTGTGGTAGCGGGAGACACCCCAGGTCAGATTCTCCTTCCAGGTGGAACAGCAGCCTCTGCCCGTGCCCACCTTGACACTGGGCATGCAGTACGGTTCTGCAGTCTCGGTCTCCCCCCAGCGCTGACAGTCAGAGCGGGGCTCCCCAGAGCTGTCTGTACCAGCTGCCTGTCCCGTTCTGGGAGGAGAGGGACGCCATGTCAGGAGGCTGCAGGCGCTGGCCATCCAGACAGCACAGATGACCTCACCAGAGGGCCGAGTGTAGGTGGGGACCCCTCCCCAAGGAATGGCGCTGCCCATGCTCAAGCTGAGTGGTCCTCTCTGAAAATGTCTTCACACACACACACACACACACACACACACACACAGTACGTCTCCTGGATGATTGCAAATCCATTTGAGTGTGAAGATTATCTCATACCTTGTGTTTGCCACCCAGTGGACTGAGCCCCCAAAACTCCAGTCATAGCAGGGAAACAGCTGTCAGCTGTTAACAGTCTCTTCCCACAGTGTCACTGGCTTCTGGCTCCCTGCGAACTCCTGCTGGGGTCATCCAGCCCTCGGACCTACACCTAAACCTACCATGCCATCTTGCCTTGGTCTTTTATGCCATGCCTATGGCAGCATCCACACGAGCCCTCCTGTCTCCCAGCTCACCTCTCCTCAATGATTAGGATGGCACCCTTGTGATGGGCATTACACTCCTGGAATCCCCACCCCGGCTCCTTGGTGGTCTTCTGCCTCGCTGTCTTCAGGTGTGCCCTCTTGGGATTGGCACTTACAAGAACAGCAGTTTTCCAGCTCTTTGTGGCCTGACTCGGCCGTCTCCTCCTGGAAGCCTTCTCAGATTTCTCCAGGTGGGGCTTGGTGGACTTAGCTGAGACTCTGCTCGTGGCAAGTCTCTCCGTGAATGAATAAATGGATGAACGAACGAATGAAGCAAAGAAATGGTTATTGAATGTTTTGCCAAAGCTTTATTGGTGTGAAGAAAGGACCAAGATGCATAGGGTGGGCTTGGTGAGCGTGAAAACAGAACACAGAGAGTTGAGCCCGTTCACGCCTGGCCTTCCTAGGGACCCTCCTCTGTCTTCTTTCTCTCTGGCTCACGCTGCTTCTGCTGCTGACTGCACATATCCTAGGGGACAGCAGGGAAGAGAGCAGAGTGGCTGAGCCAACTGTGGTGACATACCTGGGGGTGCTGAGGCAGGAGGATTGTAGAGTTACAGAGTAACCAGGCTGGTCTTGAATTCAGAGATCTGCCTGCCTCTGCCTCTGCCCCCCAAGTGCTGGGATTAAAGGTGTGTGCCACTGCCAACTGGCTATAAATACATTTTTTTAAAGGGAAAAATGATCACAATGATTGACCAGAAAGGCAGGGTAGTGTCGGCTAGATGGATCCGAGATTTACCACAGCTTCTCTGGAGTATATAGCTCAAGCCATTCCCCTCTGAGCCTCAGCTTGTACAGCCCATTGAGTGGGAGCACAGAGTCCCCCAAACAGTCAGAATTTCTGAGCATGCCTGACCACAGGTCCGGATTGAGCCTACTGGCTCCGCCGTTGTGAGATGAGGCACCTGAGCCCCAGGTGACTGGGTGAGCTTTCTTTCGTGCCCTGGTTGTGAGGCGGGGCAGTAAGCTGTGAAACACCTCAGTTCTATTGATTGTTTGCAGGCACCTTCCCCCTGGGAATGCAGCTCTGGGGGAGGCAGGTAGGGCTCAGGTGGGAGTCTCTGGAACTATGTGCAAGCTCTTTGGCTGATCCTGTGACAAAGCCAAAGCTGAGGAAACTTTTCCCTCAGCCAGGTTTAGAGAGCATCAAGACTCTGGGCCACCCCTGCCTATACCCTTGCCATCAGTCCTGCTGGGGTTGGAGTTGCACAGAAGACTTCAACCACAACTTGTAATGAAAATGAAGGCCAGGGAAAAGCCCGGCACCCTGGCACCTGCTGTCCCCTCAGTTGCCCCTTCTCCTGCCCCTTCTCCTCCCCAGTCTTTCCAGGATCTCCTTCTTAACCCCACATACACCCAGCCTCGTTGCCTGTCTATGGTCTCTGTGAATCTCAGCTGCCACAGCAGGCCGCAGAGTTCTCCTCACTGGGCTGCCTTAGCCTCTAGGGCCACCCAGAACGAGCCCACGCCCAGGGTGGTATCGTCCAGCCTCTTCACTTACCTTTTTCCAGTCAGCATATATGATTTCTGACTCGTCCATTCCCAGACTTTTGACAGCTTTCAGGAATTCCTCAAGAAGCTCTGGGGCAATATCTGTCTTGTTCGCTGCAGGGAGAACAGGTCAGGCAAGGATGTGGGATGTGGGTGGGGGGAACCAAGGGCAGGACCCTGTGGAGCTGGGGATCGGGGCGGTGAGGGGCCTACCGTAGAAAGACAGTCCCCAGTTGTTCTTGTCTTCCAGGGCAAAGGCAAGCATGAAGCCCCTATGTTTCATGGACACTTTCAGGTGGCCAACATATTCTGCTGCTTCCTCTGCAGGAGGAAAGGCTCTGAGTCACGGGAATGGTGCCAAGGTCTCCATTCCCAGGGCGAGGGAGCAAATAGCTGTGGGCAAAGGCCCGGGGCTCCTCAGAGCCGCCGTGTGCTCAGTTTCTGCTGTGCTTCATAGATGAGGAATGCCAGGGGCCTCGGAAAGATGGTGACTCTCTACCCCCATTCCACAGCTGAGGGGCACAAGGGTTAAAAGCCTCGGGGCTGCTATGCAGTGTCCGACCAGGCCCATCAGCATTTGTGTGGCCTTCCTGTGTGTTGTCCCTGGGGACACGGAGGCATGGGTGAAGTCATGGCTGCCCACCTCATGGGTTCCCACTCTGAGCTCACAGCCAATGGGAAAGATTGTTAAGAGAATGACATAAGCACCCTGTGCTGTTTCCTCCTCCAACCCTTGCGATACCCTCCCAGAAAGGGCCAAGTTCACATAAAGCATTTCCAACAGGGCCAGCACACGGCATGAACTCTGTTTCTGCTGGCCAGCTAGTGCTCTCTGTGATCCAGGATCCACGGCCTTGACCACCCTCTCCCCTAAACTGACCTGACCCACATGAGTGCTGGCTCTCACCAAATTTGGACAGAGTCCCATTCTCTCTCTGGACTTCCAGCTTGCTGGAGTTAAAGACACACCGGTCCTCCCTACAGGCAAAGAGAAGGAGAAGAAATAGTGAAAGGTAATCAGGAGATGTGACCAGCATGGGGGTCAAGAGGCAGGTAGAGAAGACAGCTGTCCCCGTTCCTGAAGATGGGTGGGGAGGCCAAGCAGAGTCAGAGTTTGCTCAGGTCTCCTGGTATCCAGGAACGGCGGCCAGGGCTGGGTGGGGAGCTGCTGCAAGGACTCACGTGGTCTGGTACTCCTGGACCAGGATGGTGTCGTCTGTCAAGTTGGGGGTAAAGTAAAAATAATCTGCCTGTATCTTTTGAGCTGCCTGTTTGAACTCGGGGTTGCGTAGAGCAGAGCCGATGTAAAACCATTTGCCAGAGAGCTGGGAAGATAAAGGCACACAGGTGAGCAGGCCTTGGTGCGCGTCAGTCAGCAGTGGTGGGAGGCAGGCGAGAAAGGGCTCCTGAGCCACACATAGGCTGGGATCACACAGGCAACTCAAAAATCAGCCCTCCACTGCTCTCTTCCCTTCTAGAGACTTCAGAAGAATGCTTCTGAGTTTAGAGGCAGGGGATTGCCACAAATCCCCACCAGAGTCCCAGGCTGGTTAGAATTTCCCTCAGGAGAGGCAAGGGCATTAGCCCAGAGATGAACACAGACAGGGAAGGAAAAGTCCGAGGAAAGGTAGCTATGTACAGTGCTCAGAGTCAGGCCCTGGGCAGGTACTCACCCAGATCAGTGTGTCGTTGGTAATAGCCGTGCCTGTGATGTTGGCATGTTCTGGGTTCTGGGCCTCCAGAAGTGGCGAGAGGCTCAAAATGACAAGAACCACATGCAGCACCATGCCAACACTCAGGCACCAGAGCCAGGACAAACTAATCCATGGCTGGAAGGTACGGTGACCTTTATAGCAAGATGTGGGCAGGGCACAGGAGTCCAGCCAGGGACTGCGGAGCTGTGACCCCATCCCACCAGTGCTGGGAAATACCTTGCGCAAAATGCCCTCTCAAGCCATCTGCAAGTGCAGTTCTCACAGCCAGCCCTGGCCCAGACTCCTGCCCTACAATTTCCTAAAAGCCAGAGTGTTGATTCACGGCGAAGGTGGCTACAAGCTACTCTGAGGACACCTAACATGTCACCAGCCATAGATTTTTAATATCGATCCCAGGTAGCAATCCCATCCATTTCTTATCCCATGGAGCATGAGTGAGACACAACCCCCAGCCACAAATCAAACCCCAAGGTGCTATGAAGAGGATCCAGGTCAGAGTTGGGAGTGAACTTGGAAGACACTTAAGGGGTCAGGTTGGGGGCCAAAGTCAAAGATGGATGGTTAGATTTCAAATGAATGTGATGTTTCTGGAGAGCCCTACCCCCCTGAAGACAGCCAAATACCCAACAAAGGCCGGTGTGGATCTGAGTGGAATATCTAGTTCAGCAAATGTCCCAGTATCTCAATCAGACAAGGATGTGGCAGTGCTTGTCCAGCCCAGGAGCTGTGTCCAGCGTCCAGCAAGCATCCGGTTCTAGTTCCGCCTGACGGAGCTCGCTCTTTGTGCACATGAATGAACACTCTCAGAAAGTGTTGCTATGGCCAGGCATGGTGATGCCCACTGGGGCAGGGGATCATTGTTGGACGCTTGAGACCAGCCTGGGTTACACAGTGAGCTGTTTCCAAACTTCAACAACAACAAAAGTGCTATAGCATGTTTACAATTTGTTCTTTCTATTTCCTGTGGCATCCATATATTGTTATATTTTAGAGTTACAGTTTTAATGACACATAACTTGCCACTCACTTACTATATTCTGTAAGAGCCTGCCTTCCAGTGGATATCCACACCCGACCCAGGCACGTGCTTTCCCGAACTCGGGGCCCACGAGAATGGACGACTGTCCTGAGGATTAAAAGAGACACACACAAAAAGAGACCTTTGCTCATTTACCAGAGTAAATGGCAACTTTATTAAACTCAAGTCGGGTATTTATACCAGTGGGCAACCAGGATCAAAAAGGGCAAGGCCTCCTCCCAACAAAAGCAGGAAGGAGAATAAAGGCCCCAGTAAAGGAAAACTCCTCCCACCCAGAGGGGGCTGGGGAACTGGCCTCTGTGGGAGTTTTTCCCCAGGCAGGTGGTCGAGGGTACAAGGCAATGTCAGACAGGTTAGATGGGCCTTGGCGCCTGAGCTTCTTTGAGGCAGGTTGAGAAATTACCATTTTAAAGTAAAATAGATCCCTCAGGCTAATGTACCAGGCTGTAGCAGAACCAAGGACGGAACTAGCAGGAAGCTTAGCTGGTTAGCATAAACATTATTTGCATCCAGTATTTTGGTCTCAAGGATCAGGGAGGACAGGGTCCCACAATATTCTAACTTCATGAGACCCTTTCTTTAATCTGTGGCATTTCGTATGCCCATGACAAGCATCAGAACAACACCCAACCATCCAGCAGAAAAAAGCATGTGTCGACTCCCGCATCCCGCATGCGGGTAACTCTGGTGGTGTGATTTAAAGTAGCCCTAGGATCAACAGGAAAATGGGAAATGCACTGTGAGGGATCCTGCAGGAAGAGTACTGTCAGCACCAGAGAAAAATGAGCTAGTGGTAGATTTGACAGCACAGAGGAAGCTCAACAACACGGTAGCCAGCAGCAGAGCTCAGATATCCCAAAGGCAGGATGCTATGGATCCGTTTATAGGTGTTCTAGGATTGCCCAGACTAATCTGGAAGGAGAATAAATCTTAAAGCAAAAAAAGAAACTAGGATAGTCTCCATTGTGTGGATGAGATAACAAGCAGCACAGAGAAGTTAAGTGACCTAGAGAAAGACACACAGCAGCAGGGCACCAGTAAATTGATACCTCAGATATGAGGACCCCTCTCTACCTCCTTCTGTAGCAGCAGCCATGAGAAGGACTGTTGATTCTTGATGTGGAATTCCCCTTTGTATGCTATGATTACCATTGGTTGATAAAGGAACTGCTTCGGGCCTATAACAGAGCTATAGGGGAACAGAGGTAGGCAGGGAAAACTAAACTGAATGCTGTGAGAAAGAAGGGCAGAGAAGCCATGTAGCCCTCTCAGAGACAGATGCCAGAACTTTTCCTGATAAGCCACAGCCTCTGGTGATTCACAGATTAATAGAAATGGGTTAAATTAATATGTAAGAGTTAGCCAATAAGAAGTGAGGCTAGTGGGCCAAGCAGTGATTTAATTAATACAGTTTCTGTGTGATTATTTCAGGGCTGGGCAGGGGGGTGAACAAGCGGCTCTCTCCTTCCTTACAACAAATTGGCGCCCACATCGCCAACTAAAATCCCCTTAAAGCCTGAGAGGGATTGAAAGGAATTCTGGACACTAAAAAATAAAGTTTAGCCACATTTTTTTTTCCAAATGGGCTTTGCTTGCTGGTGGCAGGCTGAGGCTCCTTTCAGAGAGGTTTTCCTGATTAAGCCATGGGGGGGGAAAGCTGCACTGTTTTGAATGCCAGATTTCTGGCTGTGCTGCTAATGTGACCTCTGGCTCTTTCAGGAGACTGAGCATTTGAATGGGCTTTGTAAGCAATGTGCTATGGCTTGCTTGGTGGCAACATGGACCAGCTGTGTGCCTGGAGATGGGTGCTGTGCATGGCTCTCAGAGGCAGCAGAGGCAGTGAGCAGCTCCACCATCCTGGCCTGGGCAGGGCACAGGCACTGCTGTGTTTCCCTAGGAATGACGCAGCTTAACTTTTAAGAAGTGCTCCTAGACAGTAAGGAATTACAGACACACAATAGGATAGATTCAGACATAAAAGACCTCTAAATGGGTCACAGTGTTGGATAAATGTACATAGGCTTAGGAGAGAGAAGAAAAAATAAAGTATAGACAGTTATAAAAGGAAGTAAATGGTTTAAAAAAAATAAAACAAAATCTTTAAAGAGACAGAGTACAGACAGTCATAGATTAAAAAGAGTAAAGAAAAATAAGTCATGTAAAATGAAAAATTCACAGAGAGTCTGGATTATGTATAATATTGTGTTTTCTTTGAATTTTGTAACTGCAGAGAAACATTTGATTCTGGGAATTGCTAAACTAAACCAACATATATACTTTAATGGTATCTTGCTTTCAAAATATGGATCTAAGGATGTGTTACTTTGGAAAAGAGGTTCTTCTTTTGTTTCCACAGAAGATGAGAATCTGTCGATTAATTCCAGACTAATATGGTTTGATGGACCAAGAGCCCCTGAAAGGTTGCCTTGAATACCCCTCAAAAATTACTTCACCCAATAAGCAGCAGGAAGCAGATTGGAGAAAACTATGCCTATATTCCCAGATATTCTTTATAAATGTCTGTTTACATTTAAAGGGGGATATACTGTAGAGATTTGCATTGGTATGGGTCTTGGTTTATTGATACAAATTTAAGGTCAATTTTGTTATATGATATTTCTGATCTTAATTAAGGTATTATGTTTGTGCAGCTCATTAAAAATGTAATGTATAATTAAGAAATATAGGTTAATAGATAATCATCTATAATAGTCAAGCTTGTAGTCATGTTAGTTAGGTTTTCTAGATGTACAGAGATATATTTCAAATGGATAGGCATTCTTCAAACCTTTCAAAGACAGAATATGGCATTTAAGATGTTTTAAAAGTTTTCATGACAGTGAGACACATATGCTCCTAGCAGCACCAATCTACTTCAAGAGGAAGATGGGCATCAACGAGGCTCCTTATGGAGTTTGTTAGCCATTTGGGCAAGAAGCTGCTCTTGCCTGGACTGCTTGATGTTATGCTGTATGAACTGAGCAAGCAGGACCCACAGAAAAGTGACTGCTGAACTTGCCTAAAGGTGAGACTGTCCTTCTGGGTTCCTGCTTCATGAAAGTCTGCCAGATGCTATGGCTGAAGATGAATGCCCCAACATTGCAGAAAAACTTTGGGTGACTGTCCAGGCAGCGAGATGTCTCTGTCAATTTTAGAGTTTTGGAAGTTTCTTACAATGAACTTCCTGTTAACTTAGGTAATATTATATCTTTCTGGAGTCTTTGATGGTGTTGAAGAATAGATATAGTTTTCCTTAGTCATGATATTGTAACTGTAATTCTTGCTTGATATCTGCTTTGTTATATGTAATTTTACTATGTTAAAGTTAAAACTTTCCTTTTTCATTTAAACAGAAAAGGAAAGGTGATGGGGGATTCCCTTCTGTATGCTGTGAATACCATTGGTTAACAAAGGAACTGCTTTGGGTCTATAGCAGAACTACAGGAGAACAGAATTAGGCAGGGAAAGAAGGGCAGAGTCAGAGAGAAGCCATGTAGCTGTGCCAGAGATAGACACTGGAACTTTTTCTGGTAAGCCCCTGGTGATACACAGGTTAATAGAAATGGGTTAAAATAATATGTAAAAGGTAGCCAATAAGAAGCTAGAGCTAATGGGCCAAGCAGTGATTTAATACAGTTTCTGTGTGATTATTTTGGGGCAGGGCAGCTGGGAACCAACAAGTGGCTCTCTCCTCCTACAGATTCTAGAATCTGTAGGTCAGGGCTGAGAAAATATACCAAAGATTGTTGGGACAAGTCCAGGTCCTGTGTGGAGATCTTGAAAACTTATGTATGACTGACCTCTTTGAACTTCAATTCCTTTGTATGAAAGCCTTTCACGGTATGCCCACATTTCACAAGCCAAGCACATGAAATGAAAGCATAGCACACACTGTATTCATTCCAGGGGCGTGGCCAGTGTACAGGAACTATCTCCATTAGGAACATAAATGGTGCTTTCCCTGGCTTGACCCATGTGCAGCTGGCTTCTACAGATCCAAGAGCAGGTGCTGAGGTGTTGGCTCAGTGTGTAAAGTGCTTGCCCTACAACACAGGGACTTGAGTTTGATCCCAGG